TTCTTTAAGGCCTGGCTGTATTTTATACTTTTCTTCTCCGGAGGTCCTAGAGCACATGCGTTTGAATAAAGTCATATGTGCTTGTGTTACATGAGGGAGACCCTGTGTGGCCAGTTAGGTGAGGTTCTTCTTGGCACCCTAGATCTGCATGCATCATGAGCTATGTTATGGCAGCTCCTCACCGTTGCCTTAGTGCACACTGGTGGCCTCATGTACGGTCAGTGAGGGCAGATCTGTAAGGGGCCATCATGAAGTCCTGGGAACCTGCTTCTCTAGCTGCTTTATCCACTTAATGCTGTACCATGAGCAAGGAACCACGGCCATAGAGGATCTCCAAAAAATGTGATTTTCGATGACTGTATAATGGTTTATTTATATTTTCGTAGCATCATTAACTTAGCCAATTCCGTCTTATCGATGCTTTACTTTCCAACTGTCCCACAACGACTATTAATATTATTATTATTTTTGCTATTTAGTAAGTCAGCCAATAAATATTATTAAGTACTCACTAAGTGCTGAGAACAAGTTTCTGATCATCCAGCCTGATACAAGGGTAACGTTTCGAATACTGAGCAGAACATCCAAAAATCTATGCGAATCGGCCAAAGTGGTAGTCAGAGGAAATTTCATAGCCTTAAATGCATTTGTTATTAATAAGAATAGAGGGAAAAATCAATGAACTAAACATTCGCCTTGAGAAGCTAGAAAAGAAGCAATAAAATGAAAGAAACACTAAAAGAAAAAGTTAATCAGTGTAAGGGAGGAAAATAAGAAAAGGAAACAAAATCAATAGCTGGTTCTTTAAAAAGATCAATATAATAGAATGTCTAGGGACATGCACAGACTGCGAATTCTTTAGTCAAGAGGCCTTCATGAATGTTATTTCTCCCACCGAGCTTTTGATGACAATTGCTTGGCAAAGTGTATTAGTTATCTGTTGCTGTGTACTAAATTAGCCGAAACTTAGGGACTTAAAATAAGAAACATGTTTCTTACCGTTTCTGTGGATTAAAAATCCAGATAGGGCTTAGCTGGGTGCCTTCTGGCTCAGAGTCTCCATAAGGCTACAATCATGGTGTTGGCTACACAAGCCATACCAAGGCTTAGGTGGGGGGAAATCCACTGCCAGGGTCACTCACATGGCTGTCACTAGGCCTCTGGTCTTCACTGGCAACTGGCTGAAGACATCAGTTCCTTGGTGCATGAGCCTCTCCATAGGACTACTCATAACATGGCTTACTTGCTTCCTTCCGAGCTAGGGCAGAGAGAGAGGGAGAGGGAAAGGAAGAGGGAGCTCATTGTGTGTGTGTGTGTGTGTGTGTGTGTGTGTGTGTGTGTGTGTGTGTGTGTGTGTGAGAGAGAGAGAGAGAGAGAGATTTCTTTTTGCAATCAGTCTTTTGTAATTTTGGAAGTGACATCCCATCACTTTTGCCATATTCTAGTATTCTGTTAGAATAGAGTCACTGGGTCCAGCCACACTCAAGGGGAGCCAGTTATACAAGAGTGTGAATACTGAGAGCTATCTTGGAGGTTGCCACTGTCCAAAGAATTTAAGATCATATTCCTGGAGACCAAATATTTTTTACACTAAGTGAGGGCAATGTTACATACCTTGACAGTCATCTGGACAATGGGTTGGTAGACAAGGCAAGCTCTACTGCTTATTAGTTGTATATGTCTTGGGAACCTTCGTTCACTGTCTGAAAATGGAGTAATAATAGAGACTATCTTGAGAATTCGTTGAGTTTATTGTAATGAGGGCTGAAGAAAATGCTTTGTGAAGTTCAGAAGGTAGGCATTATTAAGAGGATAAGGTTGGAGATGCGAGGATAGATGATTTTCTCTCTTCCTCTCATTTTTTCTTTCTCTTCTCTCCCTCTTTCTTTCTTTCTTTCTTTCTTTCTTTCTTTCTTTCTTTCTTCCTTCCTTCCTTCCTTCCTTCCTTCCTTCCTTCCTTCCTTCCTTCCTTCCTT